GCACTAGCACTTTTGAGTTTCTTGTTTTTCTCTTTTATGTCTTCTGCCTGATTTTTGCTTCATTTTTCACCAACTGCTATGACTTCCTTAACTTGTTCCTGTTCTATCTTTACTCTTTCTTCTAGCTCTTCTACCTCTGCCTCTAAATCTTTAATTCTTTCAACTTTACTTTTGATAATGTCTTTAAGAATTATATCCTTAGCTGGTTGACCAAAAATTTCACCTCCTTCTTCTATTCAAGAAAAAATATGAGTTATTTGATTTCATAGTTTTCAATCTTTTTTCAATTCAGCAGCTAACTCAGTGTCTTCAAAGTAATCTATATTAATTCTCTCAACTACTTTTTCTAGATTTTCTTTACCCTCCCATTTATAGTTGTGCATAAGACTATGTTGAAAACAAACATTCATAAACTGATTTCTTAATGGTTTGTAAAAGATGTGAAGAAAAGTATAGGGATGATGAATTGTCAAAGTGCAATTGATGTGGTAGATTGCAAACTAAGTTAGATTTTGATGTTGTTAATGGTAAGAATGTTTGCTACTGTATTAGAAACAATGAAGACTTAGAAGAGAAGGAATTTCCTCTCTTACCTCATGAAGAAATAAGTCAGTCTACTTTTTATGAAAGACAAATAAACTCCCTACAAGAACAACTAAATGAGACTGAAGAAGCCTTAGAAATTGAAAGGGAAGAAATAACCAAATTTCAAGAGAAATCCAAGGAATGAAGTAAAAGGCAAAAGCAAGAGTTGTTGGATAAGATAAAGAGTTTAGAAGAAAAAATCAATCATCTGGAAGAAGAAAACAGTAAATTAAAAGATCAACAGAATGGTCAATTAACTGCTCAAATTGAAGTCAAAGAGACTAAAAGATGATCTTGATTGAAAATAAAAAAGTAATTGAGGAAATTTCCCTCTGTATAAATTGAAATTCATTCCAACTATCAAATGGTAGCTATTTTCCTTTTAAAGATTTTTGCTTTTTGTTGGGTAATAGTACACTTTCACTCTGCTTTCTTTTTCTAACATTTATTATTTTTCTTTCTTCTTGATAAATTTCATAGGTAATCTTTTCTTTTTTTAGATAAGCTTCCAGTGTTTGGGTATCATTTATTTTGAAAATGTAAGGAGCAATTTTTTCACCTTGCTCTTTCTTCAAAATACTTCTTATAGTACTATAATTCTTGGGTCACATAGTAGATCTGATGTAAATTAACTTCATATTAACTATTTTTATATAGAGGTAATTCTATATATCACCTAATATTAAGAGGAAGATTTTAATAATCACATTACTAAATTTTGACCCTGAAATATTTGGTAATACCAATGTTCACTTTGTCTGGTTTTGTTGCAGCATGCCCCATATAATAATAGTTATATAGATGTTTAATAAAATTCATATAATCATGTAAAATTTACATGGATTTTACATAATCCAAGGTACATAAAAATTTTATGCCATAAAATTTTGTGTAAATTAATACAAAAATTACATAAATTCTATGTAAAAAAAACTTCCTGATGAATGTGTAAGGGTTGCAATTTAATTTTTTCAAATTTTTCGTTACAAACAAAATAAAAAACTTAATTAATTATGTAAATTTGAATCTATCCATTCATTACCTTACATTTTTTCAGCTTTTAATAGCAATCAAAATTTATCAACTGACTAAATTTTTCTATATTAAAACCTTTGTTTTTTCCATCAATATCTGCAATAACAATTCTTTCAACAATTAATTAATCCCACTAGCATAATCTTTCTATAATATATATAAATTATACTATTAACAAAGAAAATCCTTTATATATGGTATAACTGAAAAAATTTGGAGGATTGTGCAATCATTTTTTCTGTTGAGCAAGTCTTTAAACATGTATATATTATTATTTGTGATTATCATTATTCTCTTTGATATTATTTGATAACCTATTAGTTTCTTCAGTATATATATATAATTGATTAATTCAATTTCAACAAAACAAAATGATCTTGTTTTTTTTTTATAACTTGACGGCTTTTTAGTAATTCATCCAAAGATTATTTTTCATCAATCATATCATAAGGATTGTTCAGTGTATTCTTTTGCTTCTAAAAGTGTCAATTTGATAGCATCCAATTGTAAATGCGATGTTGAATCTTTTCATGTAAATTTCCGCATAAAATTTTTTATTTTCTCTTTATATTTTTGAATTATACAATTCGTGTTAGTCATGATATTTTCATCAATCAATAAAAATTACTTTTTTCGTTTACCTTAACCTGTTAATTATGACAGCATCAAGTGACCGAATAAATGCAGTGTACAAATTTAGGAATAAAATTGTCAGGTAAGATGGCAGGTAGTGTTTGGTAATCTTTATTTGTTTTTTTTTCCATTCTTTCAATATCTTCAAATTTCAATAAATAGGTTCTAAAAAAATAACAAGTAAATAAATCTATATACAATCCATAGAATAACCTTTTTAAAAAAGTTTGTGATTTTCATTTCCAACTTAAATATACCCATCAAATGAGGATTTTAGAAATTTATATAATTGAATATATAGGCGTTTTAGAAATGCTCATATTGTACGATATGCACCATCGAATTCAATTCCTATTTCACATATAATGATATTTTAATATGTCAATGTTTTGATACGATGATCGTGTAGGGTGTAGCATTCGTTTTTGTGCATTGGTTTACCCACTACCTAATTTTTTTTTAAAAAAAAAATTGTTCTAAAAATCATTCAGTGTTAGAAATTATAGACAAAAAAAAAAATTCAAAACTTTGTTCATAATTAACAAAATTTTCAACAAATAACGGGTTAACGATGACGACGACGACGACGACGACGACGACGACGACGATGATGATGATGATAGAGCTTTTGTGAATTTTCGTAGATTTACGGGGGGTTTGAATAAATCGTAAGGTAGACCGATAGTAGGTAGTAGTAGTAATGGTAGTGATAGTGAAAGCAGTAGTGAGAGCGAGAGTGGTAGTGGTATTAACGTGGAAAAAAAAGATTTCCAGATAATAATAATAGTAATATTATTATTCTTAATGCAACGTCGTTAGAACAACCAATCATTATATCATATATTAAAAATCAAAAAATAAGTAATATACTTTATTTTTGTATAATACTTGATGGAAACGGTGGTCGTTTGGATGGTGGGTAATTTGATATGATGAATTGACGCATAGATAAGGAATATAGAGAACGTTCGAAGACTTTCAACAAGTTGATGGAAATCCCGTGTATTGTTTGTGACCGACCGTTCCGATTCGTAACCGATAACTGCACACAAATTTTTAAAGTTTGAAAATAATAATAAACTAATTCATTTTTAAAGAAGCTCTTTTTTTTTAAAAAAAAAAGAAAAAATTAAAATGAAGAAAATAAGGTTTTCAAACTACCCCCTAATAAATGCCTTCACAATAAAAAAATTAATAAAACATATTTATAAGGGAAAAAAAAAAATTAAAGATAAAAAGAAAATAAATCATTATATATATAAAAAATAAAGGATTTTGATTGTGAAAAAAAAAAGAACTGAAAAAATAGATATATTTGACCACTTAATCATTTGCAACTCGTAGGTTACAATAGAAAAATAGAAAAATTAAAATTGTTACATGGTAAATAATGCCATATAAAGGTAGTGTATCCCTCACTTCTTAAAATGTTCCTTTTTTTGGTCTTGATTATATTATTATTACTTTTGTTGTATTTACGTGACTGTTGAAAGTATATCCGACATTAATCTCTTGCTGGACTTCCGGATTGAGAACTACGATCAGGAGGAGGAGATTCGGAACTTGGAGCAACTGGACCATTTGGGGATAAAGATTTTTCTCTAGTGTCGTTATTAGGTCTAGATGATGGTGAATCTGGATCGCATTTCATCTCATCAACCTTTGATGGTGGTGATATAGATCTACTACGAGATTTTTTACCCTCGGCTCTTTCTTCGCCATTTGTTCTTTCTTTTTCTGGTGTTCTAGAACGAGGAGAACGACTTCTACGTGTATCAGAGCGAGGAGAGCGACTTCTACCACGAGAAGGTGATACAGAAGGAGATCTTGATCTAGATTTTGACCTATTTCTGCTTGGTGAAGGGGTACGAGAACGGGAGCGAGAGCGAGAATAGGATCTACGTCTTCTGTGACGTGATGGTGGGGTTGTAGACCGACGACGACGAGGTGAAGTTCTACCACTCTCATATCGCCAAGATCTAGATGGTGCATTTTTAGCCCACTAAAAAAGTAACGCAAATTTATTTTTGTTTCTATATAAATAATAATCTAAATAATTCAATAAATAATTTATATTTTAAAACCTGAATATTCAATGTATAGCCATAAATTCTACGACCATGCATTTCATAATAAGCATCTTCAGCATCCCTTTCATCTTCAAATTCAACGAATGCATAACTTTATAAATTTAAATATTCAATAAATTTTTTAGGATTAGATATATATATATATATATATAAAATATTAATATAAAATCATTCATTCATTAATATTTACGGTTTAGATTGATAACTTCTGGGAGCAGGAATATCACATCGGATTAAACGTCCATATCTAAATTAATTTATGAGCAAAAAAAATTTTTTATATAAATAAATAAATTCATATAATATGATTAAATAAAATAACATTTAAAAGTTAAAATTTTTGAACGAGTGACAAAAACGGCTAGTGTTATAAATACCTTTCAAACTCATATGCTAAGTCTCTTGCACGGATTTGAGATCCAAAACCGGCTACAAATAATGTTGTTCGTCGACTACTCATCTATAATTATTTTATATAATCTATTTTTTTTTTTAATATATAATTTTTATTTTTACAAAATTTTGAATTGTGACCAATGAAAATTGATAATGTGACTATTTTCTATTTATTTAACAAAAATTAAAATCAATATTTCATAAAAAAGTAATCAACTTTTATTTTTTTTTCTCTATTGCAGTATTGTTAGAAATAAAGTTGAATAAAAGTTAAAAAATCATGTGATATTGATAAGTTCTAATCAAATTTGGTGTAACATGTGGTACTTCTACATATTTCTTTCGAAAAAATAAAGGGATTGCAGCTGTGATGAATTTGATCCTGATGAGTTCTTCTCTTGCAAACTCGAATTGCTACATCAAAATATGTTGGGATTGGAGATTGGAATCGGCCACTAAAATAATCTACTATTAGTATTAGTCAGTCGATTAAAAATTTTTTGGTCAACCAATAGAAGATGCAGTCCTTCAGCACAATGCCATTAAAGGAACAAATTATAAATTTTAGAAGGGCACATTCCACCTTGTCTGTCCAATCTTTTTCAGGCACGTGACCTAGCCTTGTTTTATCTAACAAGAATTTACCAACTATATTTGTTATCCATAATCAAAGTCCTCAATTACCTCTAAAATAAAAAAAGGTTTTTTGTAAAGAATAATTCAAAATTTATTATTAATTGTTTTACACCAATAAAACTGACCTTAAGATCGAGAGTTTTGCATATATAATCACATTTACCTTTTTGCATAATCGAAAATTCATTCCATTAGTGTTAAACTCTGATTTATGTCTTAAAACTACACCTTTTTTATTCTTGGTATTCCCAAGCTGTCGACAACCAAATTTACATCATAACATCCGTTATAAGAATGAATTATGCGGTGGACGAAATCAAAAATTTGTGAGGCATTCTCATTATTGTAAAAAATATAATTAGTTAAATTGACTTTAATATAAGTGAAACTGATATTGATTACGCAAAACAAATTACCAACCATTCATTTGTTATCTTGATAAGGATCTTATAATTACCCAGCAAGGTTTTGATTTCAATTAAAAAATTTATAAAAATAAAAATATCAATACAAATAAAAAATAGTACCTCTGGTTAATTATTCTTTAGGAGACTTACGTTTTGTCATCTTGGACTCAAATAAATTTTCTAAAAAAAAAAAACCAATAGGTTTCATGCATAAATAATTAATGTGTACGCATTGATCAAATAACAATTTTATTTCCACAAAGATGTCGCAACAACATCAGCAAAAAAAAAAAAATCACATTGAAGAGATCGTTCATGGATAAGTGTTTATCATAAGAATGGTGGTTATTACCACTACTAGTCATTCTAGTTATTATTTTATTAATGAGTGGTTGTGATCATCGTAACTCGTCGTCATTCTAGTGATTAGAGCAATCTTAATTAATTTAATTATTAAAATTTTGTACATACTTAACAGGTCATCATCGTCATCATCATCATTATCCTCATTATCATCTACTTCTTCTTCACCTTCATTTGAAGAAAAAGAACCAGTAGAAATTAAGTCAAGACAAAAGAGAACAGAATCATCAACATCTTCTTCGGCATCATCATCATCATCATCATCATCATCTTCTTCTTCATCTTCTTCTTCTTCTTCTTCTTCTTCTTCTTCTTCTTCTTCTTCTTCTTCAAGAAAAAAAATTCCTTGGAGTAATGACGAATATTTGATTGAAAATTATCGGATATTTGATCTCCCTAATGGAAAAAATTTGTTAATAAAAGAACTATGGGATGTAGGAATTCCTGGAAAAGTTTGGGATTCGGCATTTGTAATGGTTCAGTTGTTTAGAGAAAAGTTAGCAAACAATAAAAGATTGTTTGATAATAAAAAGATTTTAGATTTATCATCAGGAAATGGTTTCGTAGGAACACATTTAGCAGCTTTAATTACTGATCTAAAAGTTTCAAATGATTATAAGAAAAATGATGTTGCTGATAATGGTGATAATGGTGATTAAGACGAGGATCTTGTTGTTGCTGTTGCTGCTCATTTATTATTGTTGTTGTTGGTGGATAAGGATCTATCACACAGAAATAATGTTCGGCATTTTTATTTTCTTTATTACAAATATGAAGATCTCCACCTGCACGGTAAATCAATTCGACAAGCTGTTTATTCTTTGCTTTTGCTAAAATATTAATAGCAGTGTCTCCATCAACATTTTGTCTATTTAAGATACTTTTGCGGTATTTTTCATCTGGGAGTTGGGTTAATTGTGAAATTAAAATTTCCAAATAGTATTTTGCAGGTTCTTCTTGTATCTTACTACTATTGGCAAAAACTGCTATATGATGAAACACTGTTTGATCACGAGAATCAACGCTGCCAATACTTCTTGCCAAAAGTTGTATAATATTTTTGAAACTTCTGTTTTGATAATTATATGGAAACATGACACTTCTCATAAGTGCTGTCTCACCAACAATATTACTACTTTCAGCATCAGCGCCTGCTTTGATCAACAAATTTACCATGTCAATATTAGCCATTGCAGCAGCCCAATGAAGTGAAGTATGACCTTGTGCATCAATTATGAGATTAGCATCAAAGTCAGGCGGCGGGTTTATTACAAAATTTGGAATTAAATTTGAGTTTGATGTGAAATATGCCAACAACATTTCAACATATTGATTTGCGGCGGTAATCGTTGAAGCTGAAGATGAGGAGGAGGAGGAGGAGGAAGAATAGGATGCTGAAAATGCAGTTTCTACCATTGACAATTTAGACATTTTAGCTTGGCGGGTATTATTATCTGATGAGTTTGTCCTTTTTCTTTTTGGATTTGATTCATTATTCGAATGCTCGTCTGATTCTGTTGTGTAGTTTATTGCCGATGATGTGTCAACTATGTAAGCAGGTGAAGTTGGATAATGTCTACTAGGTGATGATATAACAGACGAAGCTGTTATGGTAGTAGTAGATGGTGCACTAACAATATCATTATTGTTAATTTGTGGTTCTGTATCCAAAGATATCAATTCTTCAACGGGTTCGTTTGCCTTTCCTTTGCCTTTCTTTGAAGAACGAGGTTTGGCGGGTTTGGATTTAGGTTGTTTGGGTTCACGTGGCTTTCTAGGCCTATTGGATGCAGCAGTAATATGTTTTGGTGCTAGCGGGGGACTTTCCAATGAAGGTCTGAAATCTATTAATGGTTGTAATAGCTCTTTGACCCTATATCGTTCTGCTAAATCTACCCCTTTATCATAAGGAACCCATGTCCCTAAATTCAATATATATTATAATTAATAATTATAAATAAATTTAATGTGTTAATTATTGTTTAATCAATCAATTAATCAATCAGTAAATCAATCAATCAATATGTATGATAATATAAATTAAATATATAAATATATAAATAATATATAAATAAATAAACAAATAACAAATAATAAATAAATTTATTAAACAAACAAAAAAATAAAAGAAAATTATAAATATCTTCAATAATAATAAAGCGCAAAAGAAAAGAATAAATGGATTTATTACCTTGATATTTACCGTACCCTCCTTGTACTTTCTCATGCTCACCTCTTTGTACATCACGTTCTAATATTCTTGTTCTATGTGGCTTGTCAAAATCAGCAACTTTTAAAATTTGTGTTGCGTTAAGCCAGTCATCATTTTTTCGACGCATTACAGCTACACCTTTCACTCTATAAAATTATTTAATAATCATTAAAACACATAATTTTATTGGGAATTTAATTAATAAACAGATTTATCACTTACCGAAATTCCCAAACAGGAACACCTGAGTAGGTTGCCTTATATACTTGAGAAGAAGAAGAGCTGGTGGCCTCAGATATTATACTTTGAGTAGAAGAGGTTGTTTGTTCTGTGGTCATTTTTGACAATTTTATAAAAAGGTGATATTTCTTTATTTTAGAAAAAATTTTTCAAAAAAGAAAAATACGTGTTATTCTATACTATTATTATGCGTGAAATTTTTTTTAAAAAAATTATTTACCAATAAAGGATTTTTATTGACCTCATATTGTCACAAAAATAAATATATAAATGACGCGTGTGTAACGAAATCACGCCCAATTTTCACGAAAAAAAATTTAACATCTTTATCACATGATTCCAAGGATATTTAATTGGTGTTGGCCATGTGATGTGCAAAATTCAAAAAAAAATGTTTGGAGACGCGTCTCTTCACTTAATTGATGCATTGAAAAGAGAAAAAGATAATAACAAGATTGCTGTCTATGAATTGGAAAAAACCAAACAATTATGTCAAGAGACAATAGAACTGAGGCAAGATCTTGCGTCTCAACCAGGAACATTTCAAAGAAATAGTAACGTTGTCAATGTGTTGGGGGAACTTTTTAATGGAGTGAAAGAACGTAATATAAAAATTTTAAAATTGTATCACTATCAACGATTAACAAAACTTAAACCATTCGTTGTCAAAGAAATCGAAATTCCAGAAAGCGTACATTTGAATTTAAATGAGAAAGAAACAGACTTTTGTGACAAATACAATGAAGTAATTTTAAGATTCAAAAGCAACACTCCTAAATTATTAGACTTATCCACAGTTATAGATTCGTCATCACCACTTACACCATTCGTTAAGGTTCTTGTCGCGGTAGAAGGTGGAATTATTCGCACAGAAGATGGTGATATTGAACTGAAACAAGGAAATAAAAGATTGGTCAGGAAAGGAGATCCAACAATCAATAGATTGTTGAAACGTGGATGGATTAAACAAATTTCTAAATTAGGAATCTAAATTTATTATTATATTAAATATATAAATCTTTTATTATTATTATCGTTTCACTCATTTAATAAATTCTATATATTAATAATAATATATGCAAATAAAAATATGTTATATATTATTTAATTCTCACGCAGATTTTGATGAAAGAGCTCCTATTATTTTAAATTAGTAAAAAAAAAACATGTGCGTGTGTTAGTAAAACCAAAGAAAATTATTTTCATCATAAATCTTTAATTTATTTGTATTTACTTTCTGCCTCAGATATTGCTTCATTTAAGATTGCATGTTGCTAATAATGATGAAGAATAATTATAATAAATTAATAAATGAAACAAAAAAATAATGGTAAATAGATAAATTATATATTTTTATAAATCATTTTACCAATTTAGGATCTTTTAATTGTTCAGTAATTTTTCCAATTACATAATTTGCAAGCGCCTTCTGGTCACGTTCACGTAATGAGGCTTCATAACGTACCCATGAATCTAAAACTGCTTTAATTTCTGATGCTGCCACTGCCTTCTGTTTCAATTCAAAAGCTTCAGCTTCTAATTTAGCTGTTTCCTTTAAACAATAACATTCAAAGAAATTAATATAATAATGATGCAAGTGTATATATACATGCATAAATATGTATAAATATAGGTAGGTGCCTACCTTAGACATTGCAAACAATGTTTTGGTAACGTCTACAAGATTTCCTATTTGACCAACAGTTTCAATTCTTTCTGCAACAGCAGTTTTATGGTCTACTCTTGCTTGACGAAGAATACTATTAACATGCTTTATTTATTATAATTAATTATTTGTTTATTAGTTAATAATGTTTTAAAAATCACATATATATATATATATTTTATATGTAGGTCACATACTTCTTTTTGTGTAGAAGCCCATTCAGCAACTGGTTGTTTGAGCGCTTTATAAATAATGGCACACATAGTAGAAAATGATAGTAACAAGAGTGTTTCTTCATTCAGAACATAAATCTCCTTGGATATTGCTAATGTTAAAAGACCTGTTCCTACAGTAATGTATCCTGTCTTTGCAATCAAAGAATTACCCGGAAGTGAATCAATGATACTTAAAGCCTTTTGTTTTGGTTCAATAATTTGATTCTCTAACAACAACAACA